ATAAGCTTCGGGAAACATACGATTACATTCCAGCCAAGAAAAAAATTTATCGGTCGATTCTGACTATCCAAATATATATGTATAGTCAGAAAACGAAACCAGCATTTAAGGAAGATTAATGTACAGCAGACCATGAAAACCCTAAAAAGATGAAAGCAAATTAATTAGCCGCATCAAAAAAAAGGAACCACATGCCATTGCACATGTAACATTAAAACAACTAAATGGACCTTCACTATGTTCTTATTCTTCCTCAGCTTCATGAAAGGTAAATGTAGCCGGAGAAGTGATACAAAGCAAGGACCATTTCATAGATACATGTGTTTCACATACTTACTAATACTTACATAATTCGCTAAGTACCCCCTCATAATATGATATCCATTTTTGTTTGCTGCTGAAAACATCAGATCCTTTCATACTTTTGAACAATAAAAAAAAAGTTAATTAACTCCAAAATGTGATTTACGTCACAAATATTCCAACTTTTGTTTTCCATAATAATCATGTAGCTTCATATAAACAAAATGGAACTAAATTGTTTCATTTGAAGTTGAGTACTTTTAATATATTTGCATCAAGTTCTAGTTTGAGTTAGTATTTGTTAGCGTATAAAGCACTCAGTGATAATACAATGTCATAAGAGATTATAAGATCCAATCCAACAGATATGATTAACTCTCTTGGAATCAATGTAACTTTTCAAAGATCCAAGTCTACTTTAAAGAGGTGTTATTGGGAGGTTAATTTATGAAGATTTTTAGAGTTTAAGATTTTATGGTTATTGGTTTGTGAATTTTTATATTCTTAATAGATTTAACTGTTATTCGTAAAAATCAATTGTTATTGGTTTGATGATTTCTATAATCTAATCAAAATCTATTGTTATTAAAAAAATTTGTATTTTAATGATTCTATGATTCTGCTATAATATAGTGTTATTGGGATAATGATTCTTTATAATTTAACTCATAAATCATGATTTTCAAAATACTACTTTTATCCCTTGGATTCTCTAAGTCTGCCATATCAAATCTATTGTTAAATCTACAAAAAATTTTGCAACTTTTACAAATCTAACAAAACTCTTGAAGATTTGACAAATTTCATGACTTTTAAAATCAACCAAAATCTTTATAAATCCAACTCCCAATAACTCCCCCCCCCTAAATTGGCTTTTATAAAAATGGTCCTTCTGAAATACCCTACAGAGAGACATCTTCTAAAAAGAGAGCCCTTCCATGTCACATTCTCAACTATATTATCTCAAAATCACAAAATAAATATGGGATCCACCAAAGTATCCAAAATACTTTTATGAAAAATGATTGATTCACATTCTGTTGCTTGGATACTTCTAGTTTTCTTAAAGACTCTCTAATTACTTCCAATGTCTCCTACACCAAAGACAACACCGTACTCATCTCTCCTCTCTTTTAAAGCTGTCATGACATTTTCTTCTGGTCTCGCTAATACCAGCCTCAAACACAACATGTTCATATCTCAATCTGTAATGATTGCATCAAGATTCATAGCTCAAGCTGTAAATTGACCTTTGATAGCATTAATCAAACTGTGTAGATCGAAGTTCAGACATTGAAAAGATAAAAAGTGTGTGCTCTGTTTTATATTCTTATCCTACACTTTGATAGATTTTGTTTTTATCCAGTTGGATTCTATCAAATGGCTAAGATCACTGACACCAGCATATGCCCTTGCAGAGTTTGTTCTTTAAAAAAAAAAACCATTTCTTCCACAGAGTTGTGCTGGTTTTTTGTGAAATTTCATCTGATCAATTAAAAATTCTCATTACATGTTTTTTTTTAACCTTGTTTTAGGGTTTGTTCTTTCCCAAATTGTGGCATTAGCCCTAGTATCCCTAGGTGTGGCCATCACGAGGGTAACCGATCTAGAATTAAATTTGTTTTCTGCATTGGTTGCTCTTGCTTGGATTATACTAGTGCCATCAAAAAAATCCTCTGATCTAATCTTCAGCAACAATATTATTGGACTGCCCTAGCGTAGGAATCTCTCTCTCTTTACTTTGATTGAGGCTTAAACAATATAGGTCTCTTAAAATAATACTCTTTATACTGAATGGAAATTGATGTGGAAGACAACGCTGTTTACTGTCTTCTTCTTGTTGTCTCTAATGCCATGACTTAACCCACCTGGAGTTGTGCTCTTCAAATGGGACTTGGTTAACACCTCTGCAATCCTCGTCTCGACTTTGCTCGTTTTCTTCTCCAGCCTGCTCGGGAAATGGCTCTAGAACACAATTTCGGGAGGTACCTCTCATACGGAGTTTCCATTGTTGGATTCTAGGATGCCAAACCCATTTGGATGGAAACTCGGTATAAAATAGCAACTGTGCTTCTTGAGACATTTGATTGCATTTCCATCCAAGTCAAAAACTTGTTATGCTTTTCCTATATATTTTTTGAGTTACCATTGTCAAACCACATAATTTGTGACGAATGGAGATGGTAAGGTAAAACGTGATTTCCTACTAAAAAGATCAATATAATGAATTAGAGTGATCAAAATAATAAATTAGAGAATTTGTGAGTAGGATAGTATAACAAGTTAACTAATTTTTGTATTTATAAAAAAAACTAATTAACAATAATTCTTATTTACAATTACCTGTTAGATCCATTGGAATATATGATTCCAAAACTTCGAGTCAATCAGCTATTGTTTGCGGGATGAACTCTAGGTTTAAGGAAAACAATAAAGAAGCTCAGGTCAATCTATATTTACGAACAATAACTGATTACTCCTAAATGTAATTACATACGAGATATGATAGCACATTTCCTAAATATCTTTTTACGAACACGAATATATAAAAAGACGTTTACGAACAATAAAGAAGAGGAACACGACCTAAGAAGACAGTGACAGTCGTTGTATATTAAAAAAATATGTAGACGATATGGGTATATAACTATATATAGAGTAGGATAAATGCTTTAGGGTTTAGGGTTTCTATGTTGGTGGCCTATTTAACAGATTCAGTGACTATGACCGAGAACAAAATTGTTGGATTGTGAACAAATTCGATGGGCCCATGATCGATAAAAAAGTCATATCACATATATTGACATGTAGGATTAATAATTGTCCTATCAGAACTAATTAAAACGACACATAATTTTTTTTAATAATGACACATAAGCGAATCGCTGTCGAGACGACACATAGGTTAAAAAAATATATAGACGATACGGGTATATAACTATATATAGAGTAAGATAAATGCTTTAGGGTTTAGGGTTTCTATGTTGGTGGCCCATTTAACAGATTCGGTGACTATGACCGAGAACAAAATTGTTAGACCGTGAACAAACTCGATGGCCGATGATCGATGAAAAAAAGTCATGTCACATATATTGACATGTAGGATTAATGATTGTCCTATCAAAATTAATTAAAACGCCGCATATTTTTTTTTAATAATGACACATAAACGAATCGCTGTATAGACTGACACATAAAATTTTTGACTTCGCAAATAATAGTAGAATTTTTAACTTCGCAAATAATAATATAGATCTAGTGCTAATCTAAAAATGCATATGCCAGCTTAACTTTGTTCACTATTACCGCTACAAGCATCCTAAGCTTTTGCAACATCACATAAAATATTGTGATTAGAAACAACCATCGTAACTGTTTGATATACATCGATATTAATTAAATTAAAGTTTGGATACTCATCAGTTAATTCAATAATCTTCTCTCCACATGATTTTGTTTCTAATGATTTCCTTTAAGAACTTGATCAATTGTTTTTAAATTGAAAAGCTATTAGGACATTCTGATATGATTATCGTCACTCAAAGGATTAGTAAATGGATAATCCTTGATTCTAGATGGCTCGTGGAGAAAGATGATAGAGTATATGAAACTCTAAGTCCCACAATCAACTTGTAAGCGATCCAAAGAAGAACAAGGCGGTGGAACGTTGATCAAGTGAATCCACGGAGCCAGATGATTAGGTATGTAAAGCCTTATGCCCTAGACTCGACTTAAAACGTTTCAAAGGATCTCTGCAAGCATATAGCTGCGTCAAGTGAGGTGGAATCACCTGATTAACCGAAGAACTTTTAAAGTAACCCAACAAGAGAAAGAAGTTCACAGAGAACACTTCTCTGAATAAAGTTTGATAAAAGGAAAGGTGTATGATCAAAGTGATGATCTACACAGATTTATAAAGAACTTGGAAATAAAGATTTAACAACTCGAAAAAAAGAAATAAATAAATGAAAATTTGAATGACTCTTCAAGTCCATTTCCGCATAATTCTTGAGCTGCTTTTTTGATTGGCCGAATGGACTTTAGAAGCTAACACAATGGGCTGCAGGATGTGAGTCATTACCTCGTTAAAAACCTTGGTTGGAAAAATCATTGGGATAAAACCAACCCAAAGATATAAGAGTATAATGGATCACATCTTCATGTGTTAGTCATCTTAGGCTTGGATTGATACCAAAGTGTTTTGAATATCTTTTTCTTGGATCACAGCTTCATGTTGGCTCCATAGATGAATAAGAAAACTTCCAACAGCTTCTCTTAAGCTTCTTTGTCTTAGATCGAGTCATAAGACCGGCTGACACAAGCAGTGGCTCCTCAGATACAAGCTCTTCTTGTTCCATGTTAATGATCACATCTCCTAAGAGCTCTTAGGTTGATGTTTAGTCACTATGAAACATATTTGCTAAAAAATCATCCACAACTTATGGAGCAATCTACTTACATACATGGTAAAGAAGCAATGTGAGCATGTGTCAGTTGCTTTTGTGACGAACTGGGCAAGTAAGACATTGTTTGTGGAGTTTTCTTGTTTTTGATGCCAGTGAAGCTGAAGGATATGCTCGACTTCAATAGAGAGTTGTATCATTTATTCCTTATTTTTACGCACTCCTATTTTATTATTTAAATAAACTGTTTCTTTGATATCATAATTGATTCGTACCCGAAATGAACAGACCAAGTTACGATGTTTAAGAAAAATATAAAAACTGAATAACTTACAACTTTCAACAAACTGAACAGAGTAGAGACCGAAAAGTATCTGCATATCATAAGGAATTTGTCACTCAAAACAAGGAAAATGGAGTTATCTCTGCATATCATGATGTCATGTATGAATAGGTGCCGAGCAATCAATAAACAATGAATCTTTGTCACAACGGATTGTTTGTTCATAGACGACAAGTTTTTCTTGACTTTGCATATCTACTGCTTCACTTGCAAAGAATTCTCGATCCGTTCAACGAGTTGGTTCGCTGGCAACGCACCCTCCTGCGAGAACCCAAAATGCAAAACTTGTCATGAAAAGTTATGGACTTTCTGGTATACAGAACAAAAAAAAAACAAAACAGCTCTATCTAAATCTGGTTGATACAATTATATGCGTAAACTTACGAAACGGTCCCAGAGTTTTCCATCTTTGAATAAGATGAATGTAGGTAAAGCCTCAATCTGATATTTGTTAGCAAGAGTTGGGTACTTCTCAGTATCTATTTTCACAACTGCAATCTTATCTTTCAGAGTTTCACTCACTTCATTGAGTATAGGTACCATAAGCTGGCATGGACCACACCTGCAGGACACAACTATTGGTGCTGGCTTCATCAGAAATAAAATAATATAACCTGAACCTAACTCACCATGTTGCATAGAAGTCTACCAGTAAAGGTTTATCAGAGTTCTTTAACAAATCATCAAAAGAATTGAACGTTTGCTTCTTTGCGCTAACCTGCATAGAATCATTACCCACGAAACAAAAGAGTGTCAATATGGAAAAGCTTCCAGAGAAAAAGATGAACGAATTTGCCATACTTCTCAACATTACATCAGAACAATCCACTGACAGACTTTGACCAGATAAAGTTTACTGTCACTAAATTCTTAAAGTTTAATGTTAGTATCAGTTGGCTATTGTCAAAAGTACAGAACCATCTACTCTTGTTCCACCGGGAATGAATATCAGTGCACATTTTTGTAATTACAGAAACTGATATGAAGCTATAAACACATAATATCTCACACAATATAGATATTTAAAATCTCACACCATATAAAATCTTGAAGAATTCTCCTTCTGAGCAAATTTATTATTAGCTTAGAACTTATAATCGCAATCTAATGCTGTATATCCTGATTATTACAATATTAAAAACATTAAAATCAAGTGTTTCATTCTCTGTCTTCTTGTTCTAATCGTAATTACACATACTGCTTCTTTCTAAGAAACTAAACATGAAATAAAATAGAATTCGTCCCCAAATCACAGGACTGTTTTGGAAATAGTAAGAAATTCTACATCTCGAATCAAGAAGTGGTGAAAGTGGATGGAGAACTCACAGTGAGCCGGGCAAAGCGAGACGATAACGGCGAGTTAAGCCTCTCGTGGCGGATTCCGAAGCGGCGAATCTGAGACGGTAAGCGCAGTGATGAAAGAGAAGTTAGCATCGACGATGCTGAAATGGAGTTACGTGATTCCGGGGAGAAAAGCGGAGAGGCATAGGAGGAGGGGAGAGAAATCGCCATTGAAGAAGCCGGGAAAACGGTAGTATTAAGTTAAAAGTGGACGGACATTTTGGCATTGGATAACAATCCAATTTGTAAGGAGAAAGAGAAGACGAGGAAAAAAAACAATTCCCGTTAAAAATAAGAGGATGTTTTAATTATACTAGGTTTATACCCGCATACGCAAAAATTTTATTTCATATAATATTTTTAAAAATATGTTTGTGTTAATATATACATATAGTTAGTAATTTGCTTAACTGTTTAGTATTAGTTTATTAAAAACAAAATCTTTATCAAAAAAAATTTCTTTTAAGTTTAGAAGTAGGGTAAATAGAAGAATTATTCTACCATTCTAGAAATTATAAACATGATATGAGTAAAAAATACATAGATAAAAGCTTTATTTTTTAGGTTGTATTGCTTGAAAACAATCTTTACATTATTTACATTGTTACGTACATCTTTACATTCTTTTATAGAACAACATTTGGAAAAAGTGTTCATAGTAAGAATAAGCCAGAAGAAAAAATATTAAGTTAGTATAAAAAAATATTAAAAGATCTTACTTAGACTCATTTGTATGTTTTTTTAACTTGTATTAAATCTTTTTTTGACGTTAACTTATATTAAATCTAAAGTTTGGTGTTCAATATATGTATGATATGTCATGAAGAATTCTGAAACCAAGTCATACCCAATTTCATTCAAACCACATACGACACTTTTGAAGGACTCATAGTTGAGCAAAGCCAAATGTCATTTCAACACAAACCTTCACATAAAGACAACGAAGTCAAACGTTACTCAAGCCAACTTCATTACAAAAGAAACATCGAAAGTTTCAGATACAAAATGTTTATCATCACAGTTGTCTTCCCGAGAGGAGCTGACTTTCCGAGGAGTGGCAACCACAAGTGGAGCTTCCAGAGATTCTCCAACAGCCGGATTGTTTTGTTTTTTTGGTAATGAGAAAACTGCAAAAATCATGATATGTCAGTCAGCGTACCTCCTTCACTTTCATTTGGTATTTTTAAGCGTATAATACTGCTACTGACCGTGCTATAAGCTCATCTGAACTGTGCATATGTATAACAAATGGTTTATAAGAATATGTTCATTAAGGTCCAGTTCAATAAAATGAGCAGAGAACAAACCACAAAGATAAGGGACTGCCAATGGTTTTAGTGAGTCAAGCCGTTCCTTGTACTCTGTGGCATTTGCATCCTGGCCGTCCATGTAAAACTAAGCTTGCACCTAAAGCACCCAGACCCTCCTTACTGTAATACGCTTACACTCATCATTGGAACTCAATGGTATATATAGATCAAAAGTAAAATAATGCATTGCCTCATCGAGCTTCTCAACAAACGCCTTTGGCTTTTGTTGGGTGGATATCTATTCAAACTCAGGTGTCTCTAGCTGTACAATGACCAAAAGAAAACCAAAGCTTTGAGTTTTGAGAAGAATGCCAACTGAGACGATATATAGGTATAGGGAAAAAAAAGTCTATATAGCAACAACAAAACCATGAAGTAGCCGGGATAAGAGATTTATATAAAAGCACACACATTCGCTTTTGTAGCATAAATATAAGATTCAAGATTGTTTTTATCTCAGCCATTCTTCTTTCCCTATCTTTCTTGTTCAAGGCTCTAATTTTATATTAGCTTCAGCAAGAGACTCTTTCGTAAAAGGTGCTACAGGTTCAACCTTTTTTCTAGACTACCTACAAGCCATATATTTAAATAGAATTGGTTAGTATTTATTGATAACAAATCGAGAAAATCTTGGAAACGCTAAGCCAGAATACACACCTGACTGTCTGCTTATTCCGTTTTTTGTTTTTTTTTTTTGTGCTGAGGTCAACCACAGCTGGCTCTTCTGTTGTTATATTCGAAGCAGTCCTGTTTCCAGCATGGGCTTGTAGCTCCTCTTGATTTTCTTGTAAATTCTCGTCAAAGGCATTGCCTGTTGCTGTGGTTGTGTAACTATCACGTTGTTTTTCATAACACGGCATTTCCCCCATGTAGACTGGGAATCGCAATTCCACTTAGTGAAAAATGCAAATAGCCTTGATAGGTGATGACAGATTCCAAGAAGAATATCTGTCCAGATCAAAATCGGATAGCGAGTCCTTGATCTCCTCCTGCCATTTCTCAACATGTTCCTTGTGTATCCTGATCATGTTTGAAATGATATATTCATGGGAATGTAATAACATCGTACATACAAAAAAAGTAAAGGATCTCTTTAAACTCACATGATCATGTGTTCTGAGAAATTAGTTATTGAGTTCCTTGAGCATTGTTTTCCCTGATTTACAGAAGAAGGACACTTGATGAATAGCATAAACTTGATAGGCATATTGAATTCTTCCTGAACTTAAGAAAATGCCTTAACGTAGGGAAATTATCATCACAGCTTACAGTATGCGTGAAGCTATCAATCCTGTTGAGAATTGGAGCAATGTTAAGTTCCATCTCACCAGAAGCAGCAAGTTTTGTATCAGTTTCTTCATTCTATCAAAACGTCAGGCCAAAACTAAAGAAATGAATCCACTACAGATCATCAAGATATTAATGACAAAATTCAAAACCTCAAGAAACGTACATATGGTTTATGCGTTCGGCGATCCTCAATTTCTACTTCCATTTTCAGTGATTATGATGAAGATTTTCGGTGGGCAAAATATGAGGAGGTATTGTTCTAGTTTTCCGAGAGATGAACAACCCAATATGCCACCAAGTCTCTGGCCGGCTTTAAAGTATGAGTCATCTCGTGCTTAATCCACTGCTACCGTGAGTCGTCAGTTTCTGTGAAGCTGCGCTGAAATTAAGCTTGTGGAAATAAAATCGAGAGAACCTAGATCGAAAATCGAAAAACCAGTTCAACCCAGAACTCAGGAAAACATAGAACCAAATACCTTATACTTTGCCGGAAATCCGAAAGTAGATATCAGCAAAAGAAGCATGACGATGGAGAGAGACTGACTTAGCGTAAAAATTGAGAGCTGGGGAGGATGAAGCAAGCCAGAGGACCGCAAAAATTGGGAGAAGTTGAGGAAGAAGAAATTGGGACAGGATTTTCGATGGGTTTAGGCTGAGATGGGAGGTAACGGCAGAAGGCGAGAAGTCTAGAGGGATAGGAAGAGGCGAGATGGGAAAATTGTTTTGTTTTTTTTTTTGGAAGACACGTGTCACTTTCTCCAGTGCTGACGTGTCAAGCAACTGGAGAAAGTTGATTGTCTTTTAATTATTAAATTGTATATCGTATATTATTATATCAACACAAATATTTATTAATAATAAAAAAATAAAAAATTACTAATGAAGCATTGAATCATTGTCTTTCTATTGTACTTTTTCATTTCATTTATAACTGTTAATTTATATAAAGGTTATCATTATACGATTGTGTCTTTTCATTTTATTTTTAATTATATCATTTCATATAATGAACCACTGAACCATTGTGTTTTTTTTATTGTACCTTTTCATATATAACTGTTAATTTATATAAAGGTTATTATTCTAAGGTTGTGTCTTTTCGTTTTATTTATTAATTGTATCATTTCGTATATAACCGCTGATTATCAAAGGTTGCTTCTATGAAAGAACCATTGAATCATTGTATCTTTCTAATTATTATTTGTTTTAATTAATTGTAATTTTTCATGTATAACTGCTAATTTATATAAATGTTATTATTTCATGGTTATGTCTTTTCGTTTTATTTTATTAATTGTAATATTTCATATCTATTCGCTGATTATAAAAGTTGCTTTTATGAATGAACCACTGAACTATTGTGTCTTTCTAATTTATTTTAATTAATTGTACATTTTCATGTATAACTACTAAATTATATAAAATTTATCATTCTACAGTTATGTCTTTTTTGTTTTATTTTATTAATAGTACCATTTCATATATAACCATTGATTATCAAAGATTGCTTCTTTTAATACTTATGTCTTTTCAAGATTATATATATTTTGTTTCATTCTTTATTATTTTTTATTGAAATTTTTTTATAATGATCTCTTAATTTAAAAAAAAACACCTTATATATTAACTTATAATAGATAAACTTCAAATAAACTTAAAATTCTTTTATCATAAAATTATTCATTTGTAAGCAATTGTTACCGAAATGGTGTTACAAGAAAGATTTTTTATTAGATGTTAGCTATGAATAAAGAAAAACTTCAAAATGAAAGATGAAAGATCTGCTCATTTCCCAAGAAAATATTTTTGGAACAAAAGCTAAAAAATTTGGACTAAACAAAAAAATTGTAATTCTCTTGGAAATTATTTTACTAATCTTAAAAAGCAACATACTATTTTTTCTTATGTTTTTTTTAGTTCTATTTTAATTATTTTTTAGTTCTATTTAGCTATGAATAAAGAAGATCTTAAATTGGAGGGTCTCACATCCTCTCAATATCCAGAAAATGTTTTTAGAAAAAATTCAAAATATTAGGACTAAACGGAAAAATGAGAATTCTTTGACAAGTTTATCACTAATTTTAGAAGTCAACATAATCTTCTTTCCTAGGAGCTTATTAGTTATATTTTAAAATCTGATTTTTAATATATCATTAAATATGCAAGTGTAGCACTACTTTTGGTTATACTATAATAGTTATATTATTTATTTGACACATAAAAAATGATATACCAAACTATTATGGAGATAAAGATGCACTTTCTAAAGTAGATAATACAATTAATAGATTTGGATGTGAACTGAAAAAAGAAGACAAAAAGAAGCTAATTTATATGAAAGTGATGAAGATTTTAGTCTTGAAAATAAGAAAATAAAAAATCACAAAAAAAATTCAAGGCAAAAGAAAAGGCTAGGAAGAACAAAAGAAAACCTAAATCTATGAAGAAAATAAAGATATAAATAACTATGAATGAACTATTTTATCTTTTTTTATTAATTTTTATGTGTATAATAGTTATTAATATGAAAAAGTTATCATTATTATGAAGTTGTGTCTTTTTGTTTATTTTTTTTAATTATATATTTCTGTTAAAAACTACGAATGAACCATTATGCCATTCCATTAATAATTTTTAAATTGTAATTTTATATATGTATATAACTGCTTGCTATGGTTGTGTATTTTATTTTGTTATTAGTATATGTGTTGTTTATTTAGTTAATCTATGATTACATTTTAGTGAGAAATGAATGTTGGAGATTTAAGTGTTACCTTTTTTTGAGTGAACCATTGCAACTATTGATTTTATGGTTATTTCTCTAAACATTGATTCTAGAGATTATAGTTATTTTACCAACCATTGCAACTCTTGAATATATATTATTTACTAAACATTGCAACTATTGAGTTTAAGGTTATTTTACCAAACATTGCACCTATTGAGTTAATAGTTAATAAACCATTGCAACTGTTGAAATTATGCTTCTTCTAAACTATTGCAACTATTAATTTGTACCCTTGAAATTCTATAAAATAAAAACTATGAGTGGACCATCGTGTTTTTCTGTTTATTTTTTTTATTTTTAATTAATTATATATTTTTGTGTATAACTGCTAATTTATTCAATGATTACAATTCTACATATGTGTTTTTCGTTTAATTTTATTAACTGTACCATTTGGTACATAACCACTGATTATTAAAGTTTATTTCTTTTAATGCTTATTTCTTTTCAAGATTGTATATATTTTGTTACATTCTTTATTATTTTTTTATTGATTGTTTTTTAATAATGCTCTATAATTTTGAAAAACAACACCTTATACACAAATTTTTTGTTGAAAAAGCTCAAATTAACTTAATTCTAATTTTTACTAAAATGGTGTTAGATTTTTTTTTTTAGTATATGGTTAGCCATGAATAAAGAGAAACTTGAAGTGGAACGTGAAAGATCTGCTCATTCTCCAAGAAAATATATTTGGAACAAAAGCCAAATAATTTGGACTAAAACTGGTAATTCTTTTGGCAATTATAGTACTAATATTAAAAGGAAATATAATATTTTTCCTATGAGTTTTTAATCCTATTTTAAAATTTGTTTTAAATTATATTCAGCTATAGATAAATTAGAGGGTGTCACATCCGCTCAATATCCAGAAAAATAGTTTTGGAAGAAAATTCAAAAAATTAAGACTAAACAGAAAAATGATAATTCTTTTGGCTAGTGTATCACTAATTTTAGAAGGAAACATCATCTTTTGTCCTATAATTTTATTAGTTATATTTTCAAATCTGATTTTAAAATTTATTTTATTATTAAATATGCAAGTGTAGCACTATTTTGGTTATACTATAATAGTTATATAATTTATTTGACATAGAAAACATAATATACCAAACTATAATGAGGATTAAAGATGTACTTTCTAAAATAGATAATGCAACTAATAGGTTTAGATGTGAAGTAAAAAAACAAAGACAAAGAAGAAGCCAATTTATGTGAAAGTGATGAATATTTTAGTCTTGAAAATAAGAAAATGAAAAATCACAAAAAAGTTTCAAGATAAAAGAAAAGGCTAGGAAGAACCAAACAAAAACCTAAATATGTGAAGAAAATAATGATATGAAAAGCTATGAATGAACCATTTTTTCTTTGTATTATTATTATTTTTAAATTAATAGTAATTTTTGTGTATAACAGTTATTAATATGAAAGGTATCATTATTATAAAGTTGTGTCTTTTTCGTTTGTTTTTTTTAATTATACATTTCTGTGAAAAACTACGAATGAACCGTTGTGTCTTTTATTAAATATACTTTTAACTGTATATATTTTTTATATAACTTCTAGCCATTGTATGGTTATGTCTTTTGGTTTTTTATTTGTATATGTGTTGTTTATTTAGTGAATCTATGATTACTTTTTAATAGGAAATGAATGTTGGAGATTTAAATGTTATGGTTGTTTTGGTGAACAATTGCAACTATTGATGGTTATTTTACTAGACATTGCAATTATGGAGATTATGGTCATTTTATCAACCATTGCAACTCTTGAGTTTATAGGTATTTACTAAACATTGTAACTTCTAAAATTAAAGTTAATTTATCAATCATTGCACTTTTTGAGTTAATGGTTATTGAGTAATGATTATTTTACTAGACATTGCAATTCTAGAGATTATAGTCATTTTATCAACCATTGTAACTCTTGAGTATATAGTTATCTACTAAACATTGCAACCCTTGAAATTAAGGTTAATTTATCAACCATTACATCTCTTGAGTTAATAGTTATTAAACGATTGCAATTGTTAAAAATTTAAACAATTTATTTTTCAATATTGAAGCATTGCATCTTTTCAAAATAAAGACATGATTACTTATTAAAGATGCACAACTTTTCATTAAGAAGTATAGACACAGTTTTTGTTTTTGTTTTTATTTAGAGATGGGTAAACATTCTATTTATCAAGCATACAATTTACTTGTTCAACACCATAAGTTAAAGTATTTATTATAGTTACAAATTTTTCTAATACTATTGGCATAAGATCTACAAGTTCAATATTCTTAAACAAAGAAGGTTTTATCTATTCAATAATATGATCAAATTGAGTTATTCTGTATTGGCTTTATCATTTTTTAAAATTTACTCTTGAATGATGTAATTAAAACTTGGCTGATAATGTTTATATTGTAATTGTGTTATTAATTATGTAAAAGTTAATATAAAATTGATATAATATAATTTTAAAAATATATTGCTTGCAGGAAAGTAAAAAAAATCAATGAACACTTGAAATTAAATAGAATAAAAAATGTTCTCCCAACAACAATCTTTGATTAACAGTATGTCACTTAAATTATATATTTATAAAAATATACTTTTGGAATGTTAATTTACATATATTAATTAAAATTTTATTTTGAATAGATGGTGATTTTCAACCAATATCAAACGATAGCATTATCTCAAAAAAAGTTAGAATAGTGAGTATTTTTATTGCTAGTCATAATATTATAACTGTTTTTAAATATATTAGAACTAATAATATTAAAAATTTAAAATAAAAGGATGAAGACCACGAAAAAAGGAACCAAATAATAATAGCTTAATGCAATGTCCCTGATTGTCATGTTTGGGTTTGGTCATTAGAATGTACTGAACAGATGCAGTTAGTAAATGACAA